TTCCGTTACCTCCACAGCTGAGTTGAAGAGGTTAAAAAATAAAACAGTGGGGATCAGTCCAAAAAGTATTTCTTGCAACACCCCCCCCCCCCCCCCCCACACACACACACACACACACACCTGAAGGTCTGTGTCAGACCCAGAGCTGCACAGTGGCCTACATTACAATGGCACAGACACATACTGTACATTACAGCACAGTAGACTCAAGGCTGTCTGCTTTAATTCATTGTGATGGTAGTAGCATGCTATGCATTGTCGACAGGATAAAGGTTTTATATCATACTTTTCATTATAAAATGCCCAAAGCAATATTTTAATCTTCATTGAATGAGGCTGTTCTTTTCTGTTTTATTCCTATGATGAATTCAATAAAAATGGCAAACAGAAAATACTTTTTTTTAAATGCCAAATATGCTAAAAGTGCATTTCAAATTGCATGTTGGACAATGTAGACATTGGTGAAATGACCCAAAACAGTGACTTCTTAAAAAACTTTTGTTTTTGAAGCATTGAGTCAATCTTCCAAATTTGTTTTTAATCGTTTCTGTCATAATTAGATGCTATTCTTGTTCAAAAAGTGTTCCTTTCTTGCATCCTTCTTGTAAGTATCTACGTATTTGGGCGAGTAGTCATAGACTCATGCCAGGTTGCAGTAAAGCAGAGTGAGGGAAGAGTTCAGTCGAGTACACGGGTTAATCAAGCTTTGTAAGTTCAGTCACAATTGAGCTGATGTCATTGTTTACTTCTTAAGATCCCATGAATCCATCCATCCATCCATTATCTTTACCCACTTATTCCATTTTTGGGTCACGGGGGTCGCTTGGTGCCCATGTCCAGCAATCACTGTGCGAAGGGCGGGGTACACCCTGGACGGGTCACAAGTCCATCACAGGGCCACATAGAGACAAACAAGACAAACAACCATTCACTCTGTCACTCACACCTAGGGACAATTTAGAGTTACCAATCAGCCTAACATGCATGTTTTTGGTCTGTGGGAGGAAACCGGAGCACCCGGAGAAAACCCACACCTGCACAGAGAGAACATGCAAACTCCACCCAGAAAGGCCCCTGGACCGGGGTTTGAACCAGGGACCTGCTCACTGAGAGGCAGCAGCTCTTCCAGTTGCACCACCGTGCTGCGATCCCAAGAATCATTTCTTTCAATTTCCTTGCAGCCACAAAAAGCATCAGTCAATAGGCAAACTGTGACAAAGTTTTTGTGGTTTACCACCCTCCTCTTTAGCTATAGAGACATCAATAACATATACAAGTCCAGAGGCTTAGGAACTTGTTCCCCAAAGCAGCTGTGGCTCAGTGGTTAGAGTGGTCATCTTCCAACAAGAGAGTTGAATGTTTGATTCCACCAGTACACAGTCACATGTCAAAGTGCCCAAAAGCCACTGAACCTCTCATGCTTCTAATGTGTGTCCCATCTGTGTATGAATGTGAACTAAAGCACTGATTAGTCTCATGTGGAAGGGTAAATGCTGGCACATATAAAGTGCTTTGAGTAGCCTGATTAGATAGAAAAGGCACTATAAGTCCATTTTCCTGATTTTTATTCTCAGTCATAGAACTGTATCTTTCCAATATTTGTTCTGTTATTCTGCATATATTAGGGTAACTTAACTTTTTTTTTTTTTGGAGTTACAGATAAAACAGATACCAAGATTTAAAAAAAGAATCTTAGGCCTATTAACGAGTGACGAAGGCAGATGGCAAAAATAATAAAACAAGTGTACTGATTGTTCTTTTGCAACAAGGCATCATTTAGCTACATTCAAAGCTTAGAGTGACTCAGCTGGAGATAAGACAGCAGCCACCCAAGAGAAAAGATTCATTTTAACCCTGCCGACGTTGTCAAGGAAGAACTGTCTGGGTCAATTTTTTCATGAGTGAACACATTAACCATTGTACTCCTCTCAGCTTCTCATACTCGACTACAGTGCAGCGCATTGAATCAACTGGTTGACAGTATTATGCTAATCTGAGGCTTCCTTCTTCTTTTAATATTAACACTCAAGAAGAGGAGGATAAACACAAGAAGAAAAGAAATAGTAGTCTGTGTTTGCATGTGTCGGAATATTAAGCACATTAAAGGCTTCAAAAACAGCTAGTAGCCTCTTATGAATCCACAGCACAGCCAGTGCCATGCTGTGCTCAGAACATAATAAGAGTCTGCTCTTTTTCCAGCCCACACATACTGTAACAACCAAGAACGTGTTATTTCGCCAAAGCAAGGAGCAGCCACTGCATTTGGCTGGTGACTGAATCTTCACTTCCTACAATTCTTGATAGCAATGAGGAAACTTGAGATCGTCTGCTTGTGGAGGCCTACTTGTGGCCATGCACTGCCAGGAGAACTGCAGACAAGACCAGCACTTCTTAATTGCAAAGAGTTGTTGCATTAATGAACATTTTACAAATAAACTGATAGGTCATATTTTCTGAACTTGTATTGAACTGTTAATATCTTACCTGTTGTAGACAGCTCTATATACCACATAATTTTGTAAAACTTGAGAATTTCTGAGCAGATGAACAAGTTAAGAGCTACATTGAGTGAAGTCAAAACAAAAGAGGATTGCTGCCATGTTACAAAAGATCAACAACAAAAAAAAGTGATTTACGGTAAAGTTTTCTTTATAAACGTTTACGCCACTGTCAATTTTACATGGCATGGTTATTCCAGCAGAAAAAAAAAGTGATTTTCCTCTTAAAAGTGTTCCAGTTTGCACCATAGTCATTACTGTTAGCTGCTGTTGCTATTCCAAGGTGCAATTATTATAAAATCGTTGTGTCATCATGAAATGCAAAGATGACAAAAATTTTTAAAATAAAATTAAAAATCCTTGAAATCATAACATTTTAGTGAATCGTGTTGTTTTAAGATGGCAGAAATCCACTTTAGTCTTTGTTCCACTAGCTACTAAATCACAATTTTAGTCATAATTTTTCTAAGCTTTTTTTTTTAACAAATCTCCACTTCAAAAAATTTTACTTATTTTTTTTATCACATTAAGCAGTTAATAACAGCTCGTCTACTAACTGTTATATAGAAATGTTAATCTGTATTGCAGAAGACACATCATAGTGCAAGATAAAGCCAAGGAGTGCCTTCTGTCACGATTGTTGTGTTTAACAACAAGTCAAGGCTGAAGGTTTTAAATGAAGACTTTGTCTTGCTAAATTGCTATGGTCTGTGATTATCACAAAAACCATACTTACATTTCCTCTTTTTTAAACAAATTATTCAGAAACCTTAGACGTTTACTGTAAATGACTGACAAGAGTGACGGGTTTAAAAGCATGTGTCAAAATTAGTCATATACATTGGAAACTGTTAAATGGCTGAACAATTAACATTAATGTAAAGCCATAAAGAAGGTATTTCCATCATCACAGAGACCAGTCACACTAATTTATGGTAACTGGCCTTGTAACTGAAACCCAAATTATTGCTCAGAAATTTATCGACATCTGAAAAAAACATTTAATAGGAAACAATTGAATTCCCTGTACTTGCTTTAATCAAGTCACATGGTGCTGATTTAAATTTGCTCACCCCCCACCACCCCACCTCTAATAGTAACACAACATATGCATTTGTTTATTAATTTTTGAGGTGTTGAATAATGTCAGATTCAGAAAATAACTAGAATTTGTAGATATATTTGCAATGAAAAGAAAGCCACAAGCTGTGTAGAACTGTGTGATACATGTATTTTCCCTCTTTACAGCCACTGAGAAATCAATGTTAAGAACTAAGCTGAGGCATTAAACACCAGCAGCCTATCTGACCTGCATAGAGCCCCACTGTGAGGTATAACGCAGCATTGTACACCAATTACTTGAAGACCCATTCATGCAGACACTAAGCAAATGCATAGGACTGTAGGACAGAGGTTTGTGTGGGAAATCATTTACATTACTGCCTTCAGTGTTTAAGACAAAACAACTTACACACACATAAATATACTGAAAAAAGAAAACACAACAGAGGAAAGTCTTTCTGATTAGAGAAATACAAACCAAAATTTTATTATTAATGATAATATTTTTCATAGCCTCATTGTCTCTCCATAAAAATAGTGTTGCTAAAAATTAAAAGGAAAAAAAAAATAGAAAAACACAAAGCAATGTTTCAGTACCCATGGAAAAGTGCCAGTACCAGACATTCATTTGTTTCTCTTCCAACCTCTGTGTGTTTTCCCTCCAGAATGGTCAGCAAAGCCTTGTAATGCTGCAACACATGTCTGTTGTTTCGAAACATAAGCATCAGAATGAGCCCTTGCAGAGACAAGTCAGGCAACAGCAGTAATGCATTACTAAATTAGCCCTAAACACTACACAAGCAATTAAGAAGCATGTCAAAACCAAAGAAGAAGAAAAAAAAGGCAAAACAAACAAAAAAAAATCATATTGCAACAACTCATTTTAGATTGCTATTCACTTTTTCTCAGTTGAACCAGTGGGGGATTTTGTGAACACTAAATAAACACATTTAGACACATTACAAAGAAGCACTGGCACTGTCAAAGAAACACAACTTTGCTTCAGCCAACAAAGGGTTAAACCTTAGCTGCAGATATTCACTGCAGTACTAAAAGCATTTGGCTGATAGCTACTGAACAGCACGATCTATCTGTGCCATTTTGTTGCTATTGGACAAATGTGTGTCTATCTTGCCTTTTCTCGTGTGTCTTTTTTTTAGGTTTCTTTTTCTGAAAATACCATTTCATTGCATATAATATTTGGCAAAGTAAAAACTGGTGCGCACATTTGGACTGTATTTAGAAACTGATGCCTTTACAAAGATTTTTTTTAAAACAATGTTCTAAATATTGATCAAAAACAAACCTAATCTTTTCTTACAATAGACAGTACTACTTTCAATTTTCAATCAAAAACAGTTTATTTTTTCTTTAAATATAAGTCACCAGTTATTAGAAAATAGTTTCAAAGTACTTTCTTTTCTAATATAATCTGCTTGTTGTACCACTGTCTGACTTTAGGTTCATTTATATATATTTAGATTTTTTTTTTTATATTTATGTACTTATGTATAGGCATGTACAAGAAGAAAACAAAATGTTTTGCACATATTTGTACAAAATAAAGTTCCAGTTTTGCTCATTGTGCATTCTATTGCATGGAATTGTGAGCAGATAAGAGAAGATAAGATTGAACAAAGTCTAATATAGATCCACCAGAAGCGTTGCTCAGATCTGTGTCTCCTGAACCTTCTCCTTGTTGTGAGTAGTTTTAATGATGTAAGGATCAGCAATGGTGCTGATGTGGCTGTGATGTTGCCTTACTGAGCGGTGAAGAGAATTGTTCAGAGTCCAGTGGGCTCCGTAGCTCCCTTGGCGAGATGAGGATGAAGATGACACATAGCCAGGCTTAAATGTGTTGCTGTTGTGTTCCAGTAATGTTGGCAGTACCAAGCCTGTGTCATCAGAGCCACTAGATCCAGATGTAGGTGGTGGAACAGGAGGAACCTGTTCTTCCATTTGTATGATCTCTATGGTCCTGGCTGCTGCCACCGTACTCCTCTGTTGATGCCTCTTACGCAGTTTGTAGAATGCTATCAACATGGCAGCTGCCAGCAAGGTAACAGCAACAAAACAGCCAATTATGATTTTTGTGGTTTTCATCACCTCATCCAGACTGGCAGCTGGCCCACTAGGGAGTCTGTCAGTGGGAACTGACACCTGCCTTGGAGTCTGAGTATTTTGAAAAAGCACAGTTGGTGTGGAGATAAAGACAGGTTGAAAGACTGAGGGTGAGGCAGGGGCAGTGGGCTTAGGTTTAGGGGTCTCCTCCACCTTAGGCTCTAACACTTCCACTGTTACTGTTGTAAAGTAGGACAGATTAGACGTGTTAAGTTCAGCATTGCTGACATTAAGGTAGGCAGAGGCGTTGGAATTTCCTGCCATGTTGCTTACCATGCATGTGTAGACTCCAGTGTCTGATGGTAGAACATTGGAGAAGTTGAGTGTTCCATCATTAAGGACAGATATCCTTGGATGAGCTGAGCCATGAGTTAACACAGTCCCATTGGGGAGAAGCCATCGTACTGAGCTCATGGCAGCTGTGCGACACTTTAGTTCTGCCACTCTCGCTGCTGAAATGTTCAGATCTCTTGGAGCATCATGTATGACTGGTGCTGAACATTGAAATGTTGTCTGGTCAACTTCCACCAAGTATCTTCCTCTCATGTGGACTGGGGTGTGGCAGCGTCCGCAGCAAGTGGAATTTGTGGGAATGTATTCTCGGAGCCACCAAGAGAGCCAAACTACATCACAGTCACAGCGCCAAGGGTTGTGATGCAGATGTAGCTCCACCAGGTAATGTAGAGGGGTGAAGAGGTTATGGGGGAGGGATGATAAATTATTATGAGCTAGATTGAGCTCCACCAAAGCTGTGATGTCATCAAAAGCATTCCTTTCAATGTTTGTGATAGCAGAGTTCATAATCCAAAGTTTACGTAAATTCTTAAGTCCATAGAAGGCCCCAGGCTTCAGTTCTGGGAAAACATTCTCTGATATTTCCAACTCCTCTAATCCCACTAAAGGTGACAAATTTGGAAATTCCCTTAGACTGCACATCCCCAAATTTAGATACTTAAGGTTATGAAGACCTTCAAATGCCCCATCAGAGATGTACTCCAGCTTCCTCAGCTCCCCAAGGTCCAGTCTCATGAGTGAGGGGACACGGTTAAAAGCATAAGAGGGAATGCTCTCAATAGGATTGTTTCTTAGCCACAATTCTCTTAACTTTGACAGATACTCAAAAGCTCCACTGGGAATGACTGTTAATCGGTTGTAAAATAGTTCCAAGGTATTGAGACTTGTCAGACCATTGAATGCTCCCACTTCAATTTGCCTGATAGCATTCCTGCCCAACTGCAATACCTCCAGATGATGCAGATGTCTGAATGTGTCTGCTTGTATGGTCTCTATGCTGTTTTCCATTAGGTTCAGGTATCTGGTGTTGGCTGGGATGTTTGGAGGAACCCTAATTAGGCCTCTGCGTGTACATACCACCTTGCTGAGCTGGTTAGTACAGGAGCACATACCTGGACAGTTTTGTGTGTTAACTGAGCCCATCTCAGGGCCTGTGGACTGGCACATACTGAGAGCAGGCACCATGAGAGAGAGCACGGCGATCAGGGCTGTGTTCCAGGTAGGCTGCACATTAACCTGGCCCAACGGACTCATGGTGTAGAGGGCTCATTATTCTGCATGGTGGGGGGAGACGGGACACACCAAAGGACACACCGCCCTAGCCTGGCTGGAGCAACTTGAGGCTCCCAAGTTCCATCGACAGTGCAGGAAGATTCTGCATCCAACATTTTATGTTAAGGAATGGCGGGAGAAACAGACAGGAGACAGAATGAGAGAGATTATTAAAAGTGAAGCAGCAGATGAAAAGCAAAGTAGCAATGTGGGAAAGAGGTTGAAAATCAGCACAGGTGACTTACCTCATTAGTTTCAAAGTCCTCTCTTTTTCCGTTTTCCAGAAGTTAAAAGCAGCAGTAGTGCATCCCATTTATTTATACTTCTTTCTATTAAATGACATAATACAAACGTTCTTGTCCTTTTCTCTTGAAAAAAGTGATACGGCCCTCTATTAATCAAGGGTACAAAATGGCTCCTGATATTTGACTCAGAACAGCTATGAAAATACTTACAGTCAAAGGTAAGGCCATGAAGTCTTAAAAGGTGCCTAGGTCCTGTGTTACCCTATAAACTCCCCCCTGTTAAGCTGCAGATTCCAAGCTCCATGCAGCTCCATTGTGGATAAATCATAATAATCCGTTACGCAGTTAATTGCAACAGAGAAGGAGAAAAAAATGTGACTAACTGAAATTTAAAAGAAAAAAAAAACTCTTTTCTGTCAGCTTTTCGTCCATGTGTTGGCTCGTTGGTTAGTTGCCTGTTTGGGTGAGAGACCTCCCTTGCTGTGACTTTGCCAAGGGCTTGTCGGTCGCTGATTAGCCCTGTTGTGACAGAGTCTGAGAGACAAAAAAGGGTAAAGAACTCCCGGCACAGTCATCGCCCTCTTCTCTCATTCTCTGTACCCCTCTTGCTTCTTCCTAACGTTGGGCTGGCCCTGGTCAGAGCAGCTGCATGCTGCCGTGTGCACAGTTAGCAGTAATCCGTCTATTCCTCCTGGGGGGAAGGGGGTTTGCGGGTGGTGGGAGAGATGGTGGCGCTGAGTGGGGGGAGAGATGGGGATACGCTGCGCTGTCGGAGCTTCGCTAAAGCTGACGGAGGAGGGAGAGAGCACTCTTGTCCTCTTCTGCAATGAGAGGAGAGAGAGGATGACGTTAAGAGGATGATAGTGGAAGTGGGTTCCGTATCAGTATCCGTAAAAAAGTAGGTGTTGAGGATTTCTTTCTTCGCTCTTTCTTTGTCCCCTAGATGGTCTCCTGCAGGGTCCTTCTGCTTTCTTACTTGTTATTTTTTCCTCCAATGTTGAGGTAGTAAGTTGTGGCAGTTAGCCATGTGTGAGGCTGTCAGACTTGCGGCTGGCTGGTGGACTACTGCATTAATCGAAGTAAAGCACAGAGAGAGAATGAGAGAGCTTGAAAGAAGGAGAGAAAAAACTGACAGATCAAGAGCAGGAGAAAGATAGAGTGTGTGAAGAGAGTGTGTGAGAGAGAGAGAGAGAGAGAGAGACGGAAAGCCACGCGAGCAATCAAACAGCCAGCCCACCGTCACAGAAACAGCAGGACCAGCATTCCTATCCTCATCTCGTCTTCTTGTTTATTCTCCAATCTCTTGCATTCACCCCCCACCACACCCCCTCCTTTTCAATGTGTGTCGGTGTTGCAGGCAGCTAAGATGCACGTTCTGCCCCCTCCTTTTGTCCTTCAGTGGGAACGTGAATGTACTGCTGACGCACTGCTCTCAGCTGCTCATCCAGCCTCAGAGCAGTGCATTGGTTTGTAACGCTCCTGTGTATTAACACATGCACTGCTCCTGTGTATTAACACCACACACCACACCCTTACTTTATTTCTACTTGTCCCTCCCTTCACTGTAACTATAGTCACTTCTCCTTTTCTTTTCTTCTGTCTCAGTTTCTTGCACGTTCTGGTCCTTGCTTTCTTTCTTCACTCAAACTCTTTCTTGTGTCAGCCCTCCCCACATACTTGCTGTCTAGACACTACCTCTTTACAACCAATTGACAAAATTAAAAACCTCCCATTCCAGTGTGTCAAACAGAGACAAAAGGTCAAGACTTTCAATTCCAGCTGCAGAGTTGTTTTGCGTTGTCTGTTATTTTCTTTCTATCGCAATCGTGAGCTCAGCAGTGTGCCAGAGTTTTCCACTGGAGATGGATTGCACTGCAGTTTCTTACCTCACATAAGACACAGTTTGTTGAGTGTTTCACTTTTTCAGGAAAAACAGCTGTTTAGTGCATTTCTTTATTTTGCTTGTGGTGTGAAATTTATTATTTGAGAAAGTGCTTAAGGGTGGGACAAGGATGTTAGGTCAGAAGGTCTGTGACATCACAGAGAGCTGAAATGCTGACTTTGCTACTTTGAATCTGCTGGGCAGTCTTTGTTTGAGGGAGGAGAAAGATGAAAGAGCTTGCATGCAGTTATCTCTAGGAAAGATGAGAGAAAGACAAAGAAACAGAGGGAAAGAGACTGAGAGCTGGGGAAGAGAGATGGAGCTCAGTGGGAGGAGACTTAGCCACGTCCTTGGTGAAATAGGGGAAAGAGCCTATAGAAAGCAGAAGGAAATGGGATAAATAGGGGCAAAGAAAAGGAATGAGGAAGACAGATGAGCAAATGTACGGCTTGAAAGTCTCCTCTGCAAAATGGCACTGAAAGCTAGAGAGTAGACATGAGGATTAGGGTTGAGAAGTTGGAAACCGTGTTGATACTGTTGGATTATACATCATTTTAATGCATGAGAAGTCTTCTTCTCTGTTTCGTTATTGACAACTTTCTGTCTTTGTTTTAAATCTATCACAGTGGGGATGAGATCTCTAAATAAATAAAAATTAAAAACAGGAGCATTTCTCTGCCTGTTGCAATTTTCTTGTAATTTATTAGGGATATGATTCAAAAGTTATCCTTCACCAGGTAAATTTATTGTTGAAAAAAAATAACAATTTGTTTTTACATCGTATGGTTGAATGCAACTGAAGTATTAAAGAGAGCATTTTAAAATGATGCAAGACATAGTAAACACCATCAAAGAAGATTAGTAAGTTTCTGTAAATTCACTCCCTTGTCCACAGAAATAAAAAAAATGACACTAAATAAATATTAAATATTATTACATGCTACAGTAAGTCACCAAAAACAATGATCGAGCGAATTTACAGAAACTTACTAATCCAGAGAC